TTGTATGGGTAACAAATGAAAATTGGCCGTTTCAGTACGGTAACCCATTGTGGATGGTTGAATTTCTCCATATTTAAAGAAGCAAAATGGTCACAGATTGATGAAAGGGAACTGGCTAATGACCGAGGTTAGAAGCTTGTTTAAGGTCTGGAATGTGCTTTGTATCTGTGCAAGCTTGGGCTTTCGAACTCGAGGGGAAAACTTAGGTTTATGAAACTGGCACTTGCCAGGAGGAAATTCCTCTTCTGAAGAATGTGGCCAGCATAAAGTAATGTATGGAGAACTCTCATAGTCAGTGCCGCTTTCGAAAAGGGAATGCGCTAAAGACAACCTAGGTATGTTGGTTTTTTTAACCTGGATTCGAGGATTTGTCTTGGAGTTTTGTATTTTTTTCTGAAGCATACCTGGAATTATAAAGCTTGCTGCTATCCTCATAGAGAAGTATTTCACTTGTGTAGGCTCCATGTGTTCTGCTGGATTAAATGCATTAGAAAGATGAAAGAATGAAGTTTTAAAACTTTAATACACAGTGAAGAGCTGACACAAATATCATCCAGAATCTTATTTAAACACCACATATAATTTGTATAGTAATGGAGAGTCACCTGGAAATTATTTATGATATACCCCTTATCTTTTCACAGTCCTAAAAAACCAATGTTAATCATTAGATCTCATTTGTGAAAGCAGAAAGAACTGGCCTAGCTGATGAGCTACTGGGCCAAGATTAATTCCTGTTTGAAAACGATGTAGGTCACTTAAACTTGCTCTGCAACTCGCTCCTCTTTTGCAAAGCTACGATAACGTGTCATTATCCCTACCCCACAGATAATAATGACCAAAAGTTCCATCTGCACAGCAGTATGTGTCCTGATGGTAACGGGTACCGCGGAGCAACTCTGAGCAAGTGGTGCACTGCTGGGCAGGCGCTGCAGGACTTAACCTCTGAATGGCGTTGGCTTCCTTTTGGTTTTTGAGGACTCCTATGCTGGGAACTCAGCCTGCAGCTCAGAGTTGTTGTTCATGTGCCGCCCTTCCCTTCGAAGCATTTCCTACAGGAACCGAGCCAGTTGCTGCACAGAGTTGCCCAGCACACAGCGCTCTGCAGAGAGGAAGGGCAGTCCTGAGCAGTACAGGGATTTTAACCGTGCGTGAACACAACGTCAAAATAAGATGGTATTTCTAAATGGAACCCACACCACAGGTGTGATGTGCTTACATTTAATTCCTGTTCTTCATTCAAATGATAACAGTTTTAGAGCAGTCTGCTCTTACCAGACAAACTACTGATTCAGTATTAATTCAAGAGCGCGAATCATCTTCTGAATCATCGTATCCTCCCGTGCTTCTGGGAGGGTTACATAGCAATACAGTCCAACTTTGTTTAGTTCTAAGACTTCAGGAACTGATCATGTTTTTAACTTTTGATAAAGTAATTTACATGGAAGTTACTTTTCAGAGCAATTTTAGATGCTTAATGAACTGATCCTCTGTATTTAAGCAAAAATGTCAGTATTCACTTGGGTTTAAAAATTTGCCTCACTGTAGTCAGATAACATTGTATCATCTTATAAAAAGATGACACAATACAGGGAAAACTCTTTCTCTTCCATGAACAGCGTGTTCCTTTCTAATATCTGATGAAGAAAGACTATCCCTAAGAAATCATATTCCAAATACAGAAGGTGGTTTGGTTTGTTTTTTTAAAAAAAAATAGAAATACATCTTTTTATACCAGCAGCATATGCCCATGATGGTTTAATAATATAATTTCACACTGCACCGTTTTTCCTTCCATTGAAAAATAGTTCCAAAACTGGTAGTCACGTCGCAGAAGTCAAACTCTGTAGAGATTGCCCATCACTGATAGCCAGGAAGTGGTAACTTCTGTCCTTCCTTTGCCTCAAAAAAGGTGTAGGAGAGGGTAATCAAATCAACTTTAGCCATTTTAGGGTCTTCTGCAAATTCCGGATCAATGTAGAAAAAGACAGGCATGTCTACTTCCTCTTGAGGATTCAGCCGCTGTTCTTCAAAGCAAAAACACTGCAGGAGGGAGGGGAAAAAAAGAACAACAATTATACAACAGTAGCTATGGGGAACTTTATCTCTGCCAATAAGAAAGCAAGCTTCATCTTTTAAAATCAACTCTCATTCCCTGTATATCCTTAAAATCCTGGGACGGATGAACCATATGAGCAACAGGACAGCAATTCTTTTCCTCTTCTCTTAAAGGGGAAAAAAAAAAAAAGCTTTAATGAAGGGTCCAAACATGCAAATTGGCTGGACTAGCTGACATCGTTACCACCTGCCTCAAAGTCAGTGGTATTAAATATGAAATAATTGGGAGCCACCCTGACTGGACATGTACTGCAGCTTGTTATGAAGACAGCAAGGCTAAGAATGAACTGATGTACTACAATCTGAAAAACACGGTATTTCCTTAAAATGTTGGCATACAAGGAATAGTATCCACGAGTAAAATGAGAGAAGGTTAATTTAGGGATAACGGTTCTCATTCACGTGAAGGAAAAGGTAATCTTTGCTTTGTTCATACTTACTTGTATTTTATTGAAATACTGTCCTGCTTCAAAGGGTATTACATTGTAGGTAGAGATTCCAATTATTGGTTTGTCAGTAGGATTTTTCGCTTTATAAAATGCCAGTGCGGTTTCTCCTGGTACCACCTGTATAAAGCAATTGCACAGTGATTTTTCATCCACTGCAGCCCTCTACCCCCAAACAGAGCACGTCAGACTTTAGCTAGAATTAGTTCATTTTCTCTTCTACTGTTTCAAGTTGGTTCCTTCACAGATATTTTGCTTCTAGGCAATGTGGCCCACTTCAAGATGAGAAGCATCAGTGCTGTTACACGAGTGCCTCTCTCAGCTTAACCAGATTTTTACCGAGCGCTGTTATTCCCAGCAGCGCAGCAGCACCTGGAGCTCTTAACGCACGGATTCATACACGGTGTACCTTTAATTTTTGAGGGCAGAATTCTTTCTCTGCCGAACTCAGAAGTCAATTAAGCAGCATGACTCATTTTGCACGTCTTTATTAAGAACTGAATTTAAATAGTAAAGTTAGATTTAAATGGTTGGTTTAGTTTAATACAGAAACAGTCCTATGACGTTAGGGGCAAGAAGGGGGCACGCCTGACAAAATCCCACAGGTAAATATAAATATACTTTGGATAGCCGCGCGTTTTTGTGGTTTTTTTCCTAGCTCGGTGCCACAGCATCGGACCTGCCGGACGGCGGCTGGGGAGGACCCGAGGCTTCCCCTCGCGGTGGGACCGGCCCTGCGGGCGCAGCCGGGGCCGACTCACGTAGATTTCGCTCTGCTGGGGCCTGAAGTTCCACTGGAGGCTGGAGTGCACGTCCGCGTTGAACGTGACCCTGACGACCCGCTCCCTCACGGCGGCTGGGGAGGACCCGAGGCTTCCCCTCGCGGTGGGACCGGCCCTGCGGGCGCAGCCGGGGCCGACTCACGTAGATTTCGCTCTGCTGGGGCCTGAAGTTCCACTGGAGGCTGGA